CACGAACCCATCCGAGGTCATCTTGGGCTCCAAAAACGCAATAAAAGCCCAAAACGTCACTATTCCAGCACAGTGCACTGCTCCTTCATTTATTCGCCAGGAAATCATCGCTTGGTGGAAAAGTCTGATATTTTGATACGATCAAGCTAAGTGACTCGCGTACGTCCTCCAACTGGAATTACTCCAAAATTCGTCCATTTGACTATGTTTTGCTCCAGAGGAAGTCGAAAGTCCTATATTAGAAATATAATTCAAAGTATCAAAATTCTTCCAACATATTAACCAAAATATACTAAGAATGAGGTTAAATATATAATATAAAATCGACTCATCAAAACCTAAATAGGCCCGTTCCTCCGAAGATCGGCATCTCTCTCACATCGTTTAGCACTGGATTCCGCCCAAGGATGCTAATGGTACTTCCCTTGTACTTTCCTTCCACAAACGCAAAATTCATGACCACAAGCAGTGCAAACTCATGATCACGTTGTGCAGCCACTGAGTACAGCCCTTGTGCCCTTCCAAAGGTAGGTTCTTGCTTTTCACTCAGCGCATCATCAATCATCATGGTGGCACCAAAGGTAGTAATGGTACTGTTTAGTGGCCCAGCAATTCTAACAGCACTAGGGTTTTTGCCACTAAGGATGTCATGGAAGAAAAAGTGGAGGTGGCTCGTTTTTTCGGTTTGCTGGGATTTGATGATTTCCTAACCCCAATTCCAACCATGGAATAGAAAATGGTAGAGTAAAGGGTGAAGAGAGTGAAATACTGAAATGAAGACATTTTAGTCTCTCTAGGGTATCCGTGTTCGCTGTTCTGTGTGTGTATTGGTGGTCTTAAAGATTTTTCAGGCCATTCTAAAGGAGTTCGGGCAAGGGAAAAAGTGGTAAATATAAAAGCAGATGTTACCTTTACTCTTAAGTGAGCTGGTTGATGCATTTTCAAGCAATTAACTGCATTGTGTAGGCCTTCTTCGACATTTTCTATTCAAGAGATGGCTAGCTAGTGGGAATGAGGGGTGTTGGGCTAAGAGCAAGTGTTGGCCTTTTTTGCTTTTCTGTTTTTGAATACGTGAAAGGCCTTTGCTTTTCAAAAACATGAAAGCTTTCGTCCTCTTCAAGTAAGGGATGAGAGTAACCAATGTCAAACTTGGAATGTGCATCTGCCTTTTAGATTTAGTCTTCTATTGGAACAAATGGGTAAACACTTGCATGCTCCACATTAATAGTTCTGAGGTGTTGGTTCATCAAACTACAGCAAAAGGATATTAGATATTAAGCTAGAATGTATCAAACAGAAACGATAGTTTGAAAAATAAGTTTTGGACAGAGACAATAAGCTTGGTGCTTTGATATATAAGGTTACTTACATATTGATGGCCCCGAACACAAAGGGGAGTGGACTCTGTATTTGTGGTGGTTGATCGGTTCTCAAAAATGGCGCATTTCATAGCCTGCAAAAAGACTGTCGATGCATCAAATATAGCCAAACTGTTTTTCAGGGAGGTTGTTCGCTTGCATGGGGTTCTTACATCCATTACATCTGATCGTGACACCAAGTTCTTGAGTCATTTTTGGATCACTTTGTGGAGACTGTTTGGGACTACTTTGAATCGTAGCAGCACTGCCCATCCCCAAACTGATGGCCAGACTGAGGTTACAAACCGGACATTGGGCAATATGGTGCGAAGCGTCTGTGGAGAGAAGCCGAAACAATGGGATTATGCATTACCGCAGGTGGAGTTTGCATACAATAGTGCAGTCCATAGCGCTACTGGGAAGTCTCCATTTTCCATTGTTTATACTGCTATACCTAACCATGTTGTAGATTTGGTGAAACTGCCTAGAGGCCAGCAAACCAGTATGGCAGCGAAAAATTTGGCTGAGGAAGTGGTAGCCGTTCGAGATGAGGTCAAGCAGAAACTTGAGCAAACAAATGCTAAGTACAAAGCTACTGCGGATAGGCATCGACGTGTTAAAGTGTTTCAAGAAGGCGATTCTGTGATGATATTTCTGAGGAAGGAGAGGTTTCCAGTTGGCACTTACAGCAAGCTTAAACCGAAGAAATATGGTCCTTACAAAGTGCTCAAACGGATCAATGATAATGCCTATGTTATTGAGTTACCGGATTCCATGGGAATTTCCAATATTTTTAATGTTGCAGATTTATATGAGTTCCGTGAAGATGAGGTTCTTTATCCAGATCATAACTCGGGGTCGAGTTCTTCGGAGGTGGAGAGGACTGATGTAGAACAGATGGCAGATTTTATCGCGGTTGAGCAAGAAAAGGGACGTGGTGGGAATTTGCAGAATTGTCGTCCGAGCTTCGATTAGGGAGCAAAATACCATTTCGGAAAGGGAACGATGCCACGAGTCAAACTCACTGCTTTGCTGTGATGTACGATGGATTTTGGCATTCTGGAGTCGTTTGGCCTTTCAAAACTGCATTCAAAGTTCGAAGTTAATTCCAAATAAATTCTGTTTTTCCGTTTCGGAGTTACATAGTTAATTCCCAAAATAAATTCTGTTTTTTTTCAGTTTCGGAGTTACGTAGTTAAATCTCCGAATTAATTCTGTTTTTCAGTTTTATTGTAATAACTCCCCTAGCAGTTACAAGGGTTGAGAGTTGTGTATTTAGACGAATTCGTCTAACGTTTTTCAGCAGTTCAGATTTTTAATCAAATTAATCAAAGAGAGTTTCTCTTAATTTCTGGTGGATTCCAGTTTCCTTGTTACTCAAGGTTTTCGTTTGAAACCATATTTGCTTGTGCTGCGTCACTCCAGATTCCTTCAACTTGTACCATAATATACTTTTATTTTTCTGCAATCTATATATTTTTTTCTTCTTGCTCTAGATGTTTGGTACATGTTAATTTTTTGGCCCATCCAAAGTTTGAATCCTAGCTCCTTCCCTAATTATGAGGAACAAAGCATACCATTAGTGCACATTCAAACAGCTCTGTAGGTGGAACTAGATTAATTCTTGCAAAAAACATTGATGAATTGAAAACTGTGCACACTAAATTTTTTTAGATATTTTCGTTTGGAGTGAACTACGTTCTTATATTATTCAAGATTCAATTGAATTAAGCAAGAAATTCCCTGTATTATATTTTTTACATTTTTTTTTAAAATTAGCAATTGACGCGGAAGTGAACTCCGGGTACTTTTTCCCTATCACAGGTGGTGTTTTTAGTATTAGCAGATTGTTTGTACCATATCTGACCCCCCACTCACGTCTTGACACGTGGAAAGTAAACACTGCCTGGACCAGCCCAGTGAGCCATGCCGAAAGGTCGATCGGCATGCTCCACTGATTCACACGTGGTCAAATCGGTAAAATGCCTGCAACTGACGAAAGACACCGACCTTCGGCACGTGATGCCGAGCGACTAGTCAGCGCATTCGGTCGATTATGACAAGATCACCTCGGAACTCCCGCCAGAACCTATCAGGGCATGTGTCGACCGCTGAAGACACTCCCACGAGTCCCACATCGAAACTAAGTACTAAGAGCATCACAAATGCTCTCTATAAATAGAGCCCCTTGGCCCAGCCAAGAGGTAAGACTATTTTACTTTACTTGTGCTTTCACACTGTCAAGAGAATTGCTCTTAGTCACTAACTTTGGCATCGGAGAGTCTTCGGCTGGCACCACACCAGTGTCCCAAACCTCACCTGCCGTTTATATCTCTATGCCTTAAGGAAGGAGGCTTCAGACCAAAGGCTCCTCGGGTCGAAACTCCCCACTCCACTTCTATCTGTTTAGTTTTAGCGCGAACACAGATGTACATCAATTTTTGATCCCATCAGAGAAATTTAATCTGACTTGGAATTGATTGCAGTATTGCAAAGTTGTTAAGTCCATATAAATTCAGTTCAATGAAAATTCTATGTGATATAACATATATGTTGTGTGATTGTTGCTCCAGAACCTTTAACTGCCAATGTGATGGGAAAAAGAATCCCTCAGAGCCTGTGTTTGATTGTAGGGGATGTGATTTTGCTTGTGGTTAAAAGATTCATAGCCATTAAATTCCACATCATTTTGAATACAGAATCGAAAGTTTTCTCTGTTTAGGCAGTACTGAGACATAAAAATCCATGTACTCCTCCTATCCCCTGATATCCATCATAAGAGAAAATAAATTTCAATATCCATTTCTTCTAGCCACAGAATTGAGGTAGCCAATTCTAGAAAACCGCCATGAATCCGATTTTATTTCTGGCTAAATGATTCATATGAATTAAATTCCACATCAATGTGAATACAGACTCTGAAAAATCTTCTCTGCTTAGGCAGTACTGGAACATAACAGAAACCCCATCATAACAGAAAATAAAATTGCAGTGTCCAATTCTTCTAGCTAGATGATTGTTGTATCCATGGCCTAAGAACAATACATGACTCCATAGGAAACATTAAAAATAAAAAATAAGGAGAAATTTCATGATTGTGACACATAAACATTGTACTCAACAGTGGCATCTCCTGTATTAGCATCAAACCAAACAGTATGAGCTAAGACATAACCGCGAGCGAACCTGAACTGCCCCGTGCCGCCAACAATCGGCATCTCTCTCACATCGTTGAGAACTGGATTCCTCCCAAGAATGCTAATTGTACTCCCCTTGTACTTGCCGTCCTCAAAAACAAGAGTCATGACCATAAGTAATGCAATATCATTTTGTGCAGCCATGGAGTAAAATCCTTGTGCTCTTCCAATGATCTTCGATTTGGGGTCTTGCTCTTCAGTCAGTGCATTATCAATCATCATAGTACTGCCAAATCCGGCACTCGAGCCGTTAGGGGGCCCAATAATTCTAACAGAGGTGGGGTTTTTGCCACTGAGGATGTCATGGAAGAAAAAGTGGAGATGGCTCACGTTTTCTGTTTTATCGGATCTGCCAAATTGCCTAATTAGAACTCCATCAGTGGAATGGAAAAGGGTAGAGCAGAAGACGAAGAGAGAGCAATAGAGAAATAATGAAGACATATTAGTGTCTCAAGTGGTTTCACAGTGTGTTTATGATAGCGGTAGATTTGTGGTCATTTTAAAACATTACTCCAAAGTGCTTAAATAATGGTTGCTCTGGTGGTTGGATTTTCAAGCAACCACTGCTTTCTGTTGGTCTAAGAATAATGGTCAGCTTACATTCTTTTAAAGCAAGGATGATTGAAAGCAATGCTTGGGAAACAAATTTCTCTTGCAATTTGCATTTGCGCTTTTAGTCTCTATTATAATGTTATATATTCAGTGTGGTTAAGCTAGCACGTCAGCCGACCAAAACGAAACCTACCATATGAAACTTTGAAATGTAATTTCATGACAGACATGAGTTTGGTGGTTTGTTAAGGTTATGTGAGCCTTAAGTTATGTCACTTATAGGATGATGACAACGGAAACAATTAATGATAACAACAATTTACTTTTTCCTTTATCCAAAATTAAACTTCAAGTTCGGACAAAAGCCAGAATTTTTAAATTGTCCCATCACTGACATGACCATCGCCGCCTTCACCCTGCCACCACCATTAACAGATTTACCAACTACCACTACATGTTGACTGAGGACTGGAAATAGGGATTCTTTGAGTTCTTTGGCTTGGTATGAAGTTCCAAACTTGCCCTTGATTGAAGGTCCAAGAAGTATGCCTGTCTAGAATTCACATCAAATCACCACAAAATCTTATATTCTCATAAAAAATTGATTTGGGACATTTCATTTGATATTGCGCTACTTCTTGTCTTCAAAGTTCAAAACAAAAGGTTATACGAAGGCAATGTGAAGGTGGGAGCTGAATCGGTTTTCAGTTCTAACAGTAAGTGTTATGGGCTATTTGTGTTTGACCACCAAAATTTAGTAGCCATCATGTTAATTTGTGACACATCTTGTTCTCCTGTTGTCATTTGAGTTACAACTCATCCTCTATATATAATTTTACAATTCTGGAAAGGAAAATTTTGGCTCTTTATTTGGGTCAATTGTTTTTCAGTAAAAAATGATTTTATTTGGTTTAACTACTATTGACACTTTATTTCACCAAAACAGTGAAACTTCCTTTTTTCCCCCCTACTAAAATGCAAACTCGTAGACATTGTTTCTTTTCATTTAGCACAAAAATTCCATACAAATTCTTGGTTACAGAGCCCGTTTGGTATCCTATTTGAATCCATTTTTTTAAACTCAAAAACAATTTTTGAGTCCAAAGTCCATAATTCGCGTTTGGAAAAGCTCAACTCAAAAACAACTTCAAAAAGGCACAATCTTAAAAACAAAAAAAGTGAGGTTTTACATTTTTTTTTCTCTCTCCTCCCTTTCTTGTCTCTCTTTGTTTCACACCTACTGGTCTCCCATATCTCTCTCTTTCTCTCCTCCGTCTCTCCTTTTTTTTTTTTTTTGGTGGTTAATTTCAATTTGGGAATATAGGATGTTTCTAATTTTCTGTATTTAATTTAACATTTTTTAGATCCTAAAAATAGTTTGGAGTTCAATACCAAACAAGTTTTTAGGTCTTAATATCAATATTTAAAAACTCATGTTTTTTTTAATAAATATCATGATTTTTTAGTTCATTTTTTTTAGTAGGATACCAGACAAGCCCTAAGTTTTTTAGTAATGCTAAAAAAAGAAAAAAGGAAACAACCTAACTTAAGTGTCAAGCGATGCAACAACTATTTCCAATATATTTTTCTTTAGCTTTTCAGTTTGTAGTAATACATTTGAAGTAGTTTGTTGCTCATTGTTTAAGTTAAATTGAGCATTGACCTCAAGCGTCTAGAAAAAGTCTCCTAAGGAAGGAAGCATTTTCCTCGCTTAGGATATGTTGGAAGATGCACAACCTCAACTATCTTCAAAGATTTGAATAAATCTAATTTATTTTATAATTTATTTACAATTGATTTGGGACATTTCATTTGATATTCTTGAAATGGCTGAGGATTGGAAATATACAAAGAAATATGTTAAACAAAATATATGCTACCATCAGTATAAAGAGCCAAAAATGAAAAAGAGAAGGAAAAACGAAAATCTTCTTACATCATAACTTGAAACCATTGGTTCCCTTCAATTGTTGTTGTTGCTGCACCACGAAAATCGAAGCATTGCAGTCGAAATCTGAAGAAACAAGCAGGTCCCCGATGACCCCTAATTCAGGGAACTCACTCCACTCTGAGAAACCTAATGTCTGAGGGGAATCCAAGCCATTCCTCCTCCCAACTATGATAAGCTCAAACTCATTCATTATAGACCGAAGGATTCGCGTTGTTTGAACTGCATCTTTCACCCTCTCTTCGATATATGTAACATGCGCATTCGCCACACTTTTCTGCTTAAATTCCTTCAACACCTCATTATCAAGAATTTTTTCCCAATCATTCATGGTTTTACCATCCTCAGCATCTAATCATACCACCGTTAGGCTAAAGCTCCCGGGGTCCTTGGTCACCCGTTTCGCAAATGTCAAGGCCTCCCAATTGTCGTGCCCACCTAAGAAGATCATGGCAATGCGATACAACGATGATGAATGTCACAAATGACCACGATGGACAATAATTCCAATGGAGCAAGGAGCCCTTTCAAGGACACTACAATTTAGTGCCCTCCTAGTATTGTCCTCAGACTCTATGCTGCCATCAAAAGAAAATTTTCGATGAAATGGGAGTAATATATAATGGATGTAAGTTTGTCAAGAGCGAGTGTGCATATATCCTCATGCATTAGGTTGGATGGAGAGATTGCTGTAAATATGTTTGCTGATACAGCGCCTTGATTGTTGAATTGATACCGGTTGAAGGGGCTGATGACTTTTTCGCTAAAGTGAATGTTAAATGTAACCTTTTCATGAATGTGGTGGGCAATAAAAACAGGGGAGGCTCTGCCAACAAGCTCAATAAGGTGAAGGGCATTGACAGAAATTAGACTCCCTCCAGTTGGACATGAAACATCAAGAAGGTCAATGACAGGAGCAACATCGTATTGTGAGTGAATACATGCAAGTATTCGGAGCTCAGCATTTGGTTTCATATCGATGATGTTCCTTTTCTGGTAGCCTGCATATTTCCTCGAAGGATCATACAAGTAGTTAACCATGCTAGGCACCAGTATTGCTATAATCAGAACACTAACGAGCAGCACCGCGAAAGTTTGATCATCAATAGTCTACAATATTCAAGGGGGGAAAAAGGAAAACAAAGATTAGTTATATACGTTTTCCATGCGCATCGTAATCCGAATATGTCTGAATGTTAGTGCCTGTATATACCAGATAGAACAAGGGAAAAGAATAATATTTTTAAGGCTTAATTAACTAGTTACCTTATAGTCATGGAATAAGGAGTACGATGCCAACTCCACTACGCCCTTAGAGCTCATTATGATACCAATTGCAAGAGCATCATTGAAGGGCATCTTGCAAATCAAAGATGGCACAAAACTGGCCATTACTTTGGACACAAAAGTTACCACCAGAAGGACAATGTCCAGCGCTAACAATTTACGAGGAAAGATCAGCCTTCACTGCACATATAGTCACAAATAGTGGCGTGAAAACTCCAGAGAAAAAACAATCAAACTTTTTCACTATAGCAGAGCTTAATGGTGGTCCATCTGGAACTGCCAAACCCAAAATGAAACGACCTAAAAGCACCGTTTGATCAAACATATCAGAAAGAACGCCAGACAACAGAACCATTAGAAAGGTAGCATATATATACACATCCTTAACAGGCCTGCCTGCTGGTGTATGTTTCACAATCCAAAACAAGGCAGGACGAATGATGAACACTATCACAAGAATATACATAATAAGTGATCCAATGTACCTGTAAATTTTGTATGTTGGTTGTCCAGTTCGCATGAAAACTTTGATTAAACTAGCAGTACTTGTTGTAATCACATTGATCATGTCACTGACCAGGCCGGAAGATAGTCCCAAGCGGCCTAGTTCTACTCAAAATAATTAGGGTTTAAAACTGATATGTTTATTCTTCTCTCAAGGAGGAATATATATACTACATACAGAGTGATTACAAATAGGAAATATGTACAAAATCTCCTAATTCTACTCAAATTAGATAATTACAATAAAATAGAAATTCTATTCCTAATAGGAACAAATTCTATTCCTAATAGGAACGTTGACTCACGCCAACACTCCCCCTCAAGTTGGTGCATAGATGTCGGTAATGCCCAACTTGTCAAGTGAGTCTTCAAATCGGCACTTTGACACAGCATGGGTCAACATATCTGCAAGCTGCTTTGAAGAAGGCACAAAATGTATAGAAATTAACTTATGCTCCAGCTTCTCCTTAATGAAATGCCGATCAACTTCTACATGCTTAGTTCGATCATGTTGCACCGGATTGTTAGCAATTTCAAATGCAGACTGATTATCACAGTGGAGCTTTCTAGCAGCATTCAGTCTAAACGCAATTTCAGCAAGTAACCACCTCAACCACAGTATTTCACAAACCCCTTGGGCAAACCCTCTATACTCAGACTCTGCGGAGGACCGAGACACAACGTTTTGCTTCTTGCTACGCCACGTAACTAGGTTACCACCAACAAAGGTGAAGTAACCTGATGTAGAACGTCTATATGTAATATTCCCGGCATAATTTGCTTCCAGATCAAAGTGACCATTTTTCTTAAATAATAAATCTCTCCCACGAGCAGACTTTAAATAACTCAGAATATGCATTACAACAGCCATATGATCCTCACTAGGTGAATGCATAAATTGGCTAGCAACGCAAACAGCATAGGAAATATCAGGGCATGTCAATGATAAATAAATCACCCTCCCAACTAACCTTTGATATTTTTCTCTATTAGTTGGGACCTGATCCACATAAACACCAAGTTTATGATTCTCAACAATAGGTGTATCAGCTGGTTTACAGTCAAGCATCCCAGTATCTGCTAGCAGGTCCATGACATACTTCCTTTGTGAAAGAAATAAGCCATGTTTAGATCGAGTGACTTCCACTCCTAGAAAATATTTCAGACTGCCCAAATCGTTCGTCTCAAATTCAGATGCTAAACGTTTC